CTTTATTTGGGCATAAGCTTTCGTGGGTAAAAACCTCACTTCTTCAGATGCATAGAGTGAAAGTTACAGATGCAGGCATTATATACTGACACATGGAGAGCAGGGAGTTACTTCACAAGTGAAGAACCAGTGTTGACAGGGCCAATTCAATCAGGGTGATGCACATCAGCCACACCATCAAGGGATCATTCACCTGTACATCCACTAATGTTATATATGCTATCATGTGCCAGCAATGCCCCTCTGCCATGTACATTGGCCAAACCGGACAGTCCCTCCGCAAAAGAATAAGTGGACACAAATCGGACATCAGGAATGGTAACATACATAAGCCAGTAAGTGAACACTTCAATCTCCCTGGTCATTCTATTACAGATTTAAAAGTCACTATCATTGAACAAAAAAACTTCAGAAACAGACTTCAAAGAGAAACAGCAGAACTAAAATTCATTTGCAAATTTAACACCATTAATCTGAGCTTGAATAGGGACTGGGAGTGGCTGGCTCATTACAGAAGCAGCTTTTCCTCTCCTGGAATTGACACCTCTTCATCTATTATTGGGAGTGGACTACATCCACCCTGATTGAATTGGCCCTGTCAACACTGGTTCTCCACTTGCGAAGTAACTCCCTGCTCTCCATGTGTCAGTATATAATGCCTGCATCTGTAACTTTCACTCTATGCATCTGAAGAAGTGAGGTTTTTACCCATGAAAGCTTATGCCCAAATAAATCTGTTAGCCTTTAAGGTGCCACCAGACTCCTTGTTGTTTTTGTAGATACAGACTAACACGGCTACCCCCTGATACTTAATCTCTTCTATAGATTTACTTTCTCTTTGTAGCCTTTGTACATCTCACCCTTATGTCTCATTTTCACATGGTGTGCAGAACTCCTCAAATTTCTGTATTGCACCTACAAAGCCGGCCCTCTCTGCCTGGGATAACTGAACACAGTTGAACACATCAAGTGCTTCAGAACTTGCTATCATCAGAAATAACGCTGCCTTCTGAGTGGCTTCCTTTTCAGTGGCTCTCGTTGCTTGCAGATACAGAATGAGGCATTGTTCAAATCTCTTAGACTCATAGAATCATAGAATATCAGGGTTGGAAGGGACCTCAGGAGGTCATCTAGTCCAACCCCCTGCTCAAAGCAGGACCAATCCCCAACTAAATCATCCCAGCCAGGGCTTTGTCAAGCCTGACCTTAAAAACCTCTAAGAAAGGAAATTCCACCACCTCCCTAGATAACCCATTCCAATGCTTCACCACCCTCCTAGTGAAAAAGTTTTTCCTAATATCCAACCTAAACCTCCCCCACTGCAACTTGAGACCATTACTCCCTGTTCTGTCATCTGCTACCACTGAGAACAGCCTAGATCCATCCTCTTTGGAACCCCCTTTCAGGTAGTTGAAAGCAGCTATCAAATCCCCCCTCATTCTTCTCTTCTCCAGACTAAATCAGCCCAGTTCCCTCAGCCTCTCCTCATAAGTCATGTGCTCCAGCCCCCTAATCATTTTTTGTTGCCCTCCGCTGGACTTTTTCCAGTTTTTCCACATCCTTCTTGTAGTGTGGGGCTGTCAAGGCTCCTTCCCCACTCTGAACTTCAGGGTACAGATGTGGGGGCCTGCATGAAAACTTCTAAGCTTAACTACCAGCTTAGATCTGGTCCGCTGCCACCACTCCCAATGGGCTAACTCCCTTCCCTGGGTAGCCTTGAGAGACTCTTCCACCAACTCCCTGGTGAACACAGATCCAACCTCTTGGATCTTAAAACAAGGAGAAATTAACCATCCCCCCTCCTTTCTCCCACCAACTCCTGGTGGATCCAGACCCAATCCCCTTGGATCTAAAAACAAGGAAAAATCAATCAGGTTATTAAAAAAAGGCTTTTAATTAAAGAAAAAGGTCAACATCATCTCTGTAAAATCAGGATGGAAAATAACTTTACAGGGTAATCAAACTTAAAGAGCCCAGAGGACCCCCCTCTAGCCTTAGGTTCAAAGTTACAGCAAACAGAGGTAAACACCCTAGTAAAAGGTACATTTACAAGTTGAGAAAACAAAGATAAAACTAACACGCCTTGCCTGGCTGTTTACTTACAAGTTTGAAATATGAGAGACTTGATCAGAAAGATTTGGAGAGCCTGGATTGATGTCTGGTCCCTCTCAGTCCCAAGAGCGAACAACCACCAAAACAAAGAGCACAAACAAAAGCCTTCCCCCCACCAAGATTTGAAAGTATCTTGTCCCCTTATTGGTCCTTTGGGGCAGGTGTCAGCCAGGTTACCTGAGCTTCTTAACCCTTTACAGGTAAAAGGATTTTGGAGTCTCTGGCCAGGAGGGATTTTATAGTATTGTACACAGGAGGGCTGTTACCCTTCCCTTTATAGTTATGACAGGGACTCAAAACTCACCAATGCCAAATAGAGGGGAATGATCATGTCCCTCGATCTACTGGCAATGCTCCATACAGCCCAATATGCTGTTGGCCTTCTTGGCAACAAGGGCACACTGTTGACTCATATCCAGCTTCTCATCCACTGTAACCCTTAGGTCCTTTTCTGCAGAACTGATGCTTAGCTGCTCGGTCCCTAGTCTGTAACAGTGCATGGGATTCTTCCGTCCTAAGTGCAGGACTCTGCACTTGTCCTTGTTAAACCTCATCAGATTTATTTTGGCCCAATCCTCTAATTTGTCTAGGTCCCTCTGTATCCTATCCCTACCCTCCAGCGTATCTACCACTCCTCCCAGTTTAGTGTCATCTGCAAACTAGCTGAGGGTGCAATCCACGCCATCCTCCAGATCATTAATGAAGATATTGAACAAAAATGGCCCCAAGACCGACCATTGGGGCATTCCGCTTGATACCGGCTGCCAACTAGACATGGAGCCATTGATCACTACCCGTTGAGCCCGATGATCTAGCCAGCTTTCTATCCACCTTATAGGCCATTCATCCAGCCCATACTTCTTTAACTTGCTGGCAAGACTACTGTGGGAGACCGTATTAAAAGCTTTGCTAAAGTCAAGGAATAACACGCCCACTGCTTTCCCCTCATCCACAGAGCCAGTTATCTCCGCATAGAAGGCAATTAGGCTAGTGAGGCATGACTTGCCCTTGGTGAATCTGTGCTGACTGTTCTTGATCACTTTCCTCTCCTCAAAGTGCTTCAAAATTGATTCCTTGAGGATCTGCTCCATGATTTTTCCAGGGACTGAGGTGAGGCTGACTGGCCTGTAGTTCCCCGGATCCTCCTTCTTTCCTTTTTTAAAGATGGGCGCTACATTAGCCTTTTTCCAGGCATCCGGGACCTCCCCCGATCGCCATGAGTTTTCAAAGTTAATGGCCATTGGCTCTGCAATCACATCCACCAACTCCTTTAGCACCCTCTGATGCAGCGCATCCGGCCCATAGACTTGTGCTCATCCAGCTTTTCTAAATAGTCCTGAACCACTTCTTTCTTCACAGAGGGCTGCTCACCTCCTCCCCATACTGTGCTGCCCAGTGCAGTAGTCTGGGAACTCACCTTGTTCGTTAAGACAGAGGCGAAAAAAGCATCGAGTACATTAGCTTTTTCCACATTCTCTGTCTCTAGGTTGCCTCCCCTATTCAGTAAGGGGCCCACACTTTCCCTGACCTTCTTCTTGTTGCTAACATACCTGTAGAAACCCTTCTTGTTACTCTTAACATCCCTTGCTAGTTGCAACTCCAAGTGTGATTTGGCCTTCCAGATTTCACTCCTGCATGCCTGAGCAATAGTTTTATACTCCTCCCTGGTCATTTGTCCAATCTTCCACTTCTTGTAAGCTTCTTTTTTGTGTTTAAGATCAGCAAGGATTCCACTGTTAAGCCAAGCTGGTCGCCTGCCATATTTACTATTCATTCTACACATCGGGATGATTTGTTCCTGCAACCTCAATAAGGATTCTTTAAAATACAGCGAGCTCTCCTGGACTCCTTTCCTCCTCATGTTATTCTCCCAGGGGATCCTTCCCATCAGCTCCCTGAGGGAGTCAAAGTCTGCTTTTCTGAACTCCAGGGTCTGTATTTTGCTGCTCTCCTTTCTTCGGGCTGGTCCACACTGGGGCGGGGGGATCGATCTAGGAAACGCAACTTCAGCTATGAGAATAGCGTAGCTGAAGTCGACGTTTCCTAGATCGAACTAAGTTTACTTACTGCAGGTCCACGCGGCGCAGGCAAGCTCCGTCATCGACAGCGCTTCCTTCTCTCGGCGAGCAGGAGTTCCGCAGTCGACGGGGGAGTGCTTCTGGGATCGATTTATCGCGTCCAGATGAGACGCGATAAATCGATCCCAGAAGATCGATCTCTACCCGCCGAATTGGGCGGGTAGTGTGGACCTACCCTTTCTTGTGTCAGGATCCTGAACTCGACCATCTCATGGTCACTGCCTCCCAGGTTCCCATCCATTTTTGCTTCCTCTACTAATTCTTCCCTGTTTGTGAGCAGCAGGTCAAGAAGAGCTCTTCCAATTGTCTTCCACCTTTCCAGAGACTTTCAGCTCTGGTGGAGCTTTCAGCTGCTCCATTCTTCCACCAGGTTCTTTCTGTAATTTCTATTTACTCCTGATACCATGTGGTGTTCACTAATCCCTCGAGGCCTAAGGTGCTTCAAAGAGATCCTCTTTATTCAGTGACACAGTTCCTCAGCTGCGGCTACGTAACAGAGCATTTGCTTCTGCCGCTCCCACATCACCCCCTGAATTCCTGTCCGGAAAGTGAAACACAATTAAAGGTACAGTTCCCAGTACCACAGTGGGTGCTCTCCCCTCTGAACCAGCACTGACCCCAATGCCCCAGGTTGATGCTAGGGTGCTATGCTGCAGGAGTGGTGTGGGTGACTCAGTAGGGGGCGCTACAGAAGGATCATAATGGAAGGCTAAACCATATTATACTGGTCAGCCGCTAGGTGACACTGTGTGTGAAAATACCTTATTTAAATGAACCTCAGCCATCCCTGGCAGAGTGTTAAAGGATCCTATGATGATCACACCTGATGTGTATAAGCCAGCTCTGCAACCAGTCCATAGCTGGTACAGAAGTACATGACAAGGATCCCTCAGGTGTCTTTGTCTAATTCCAGATTGAGCTCATTAAATTCCAACTCTGCTAAAATTCCTTCCACACTTTCAACTCGATTTTGTACCTATTATTTCCTTCCAGAGAGTGATACCTGTATATGCAGCCTGGAGAATGTTTTGGGTTCCTCTGGGATGAAGAGCACTTGTGAATTGTCAGGGCTTTGCATATAATACACAGGATGAAAAGGGGGCAGTAAAAGGCATCTGTGCCCATCATGACATTTGTGTTTCAGGTGGAAGATACAACCAAATGATTTTAAGGTGAATTACATCCCAGGTATATGTCCAAGAGTGACGTACCTGCTCTACGAAATCAGGTGGGGCAGAAGTACCAAGTTCTGGAGGCACTGGTGTCGAAACACCCCAACCCAGCACGCCGAAATCGCCTGCCTGGAACATGACTTCAAGAAGTTAAAGTTCAGGCCATCAGTGCGCTGCTCCATCACCTGGTTCCTGTCCTGGAGCCCCTGTGGGAAATGCTGCCGGTGTATAGTGGAGTTTGTGAGGGCACACCCCAGTGTGACTCTGAAGATAAAAGCAGCGTGGCTCTTTAAGCATATGGATGAACGCAACCGACAAGGCCTCAGGAACTTGATGGAGAATGGAGTAGCCCTATACATCATGAATCTGCCAGGTATCCTAACCACGCTTTGGCTCTGTCTAGGCTAGGATCAAAGGCATGATGCTAGAATAGGTTAGCTGACAGGTGCTAACACATTTGAAAAGCCTAGTGCAGAAAAGACAAGCCTTTAACCTGTGCTAATCTGGTCCAGATGAGGTCTAGGAGGGAGCCAAGGCGTTAACTTGACCAGTTTTCCACGTGTTAAAGTGTACATTGCTGTGGCTATACTAGACTTTTAGAACATGTTACTGAGCACATATTAGCAGACACATTCCATCGTCACAACTTTTATGCCAGTCTAGACAAGTAGATTTGCCAGGTGTCCAGTTTTTAACCAGAACGCCCAGTCAAAAAAGGACCCTGCCAGCAGTGCCGACTGGGTCATTAAAAGTCTGGTTGGCGGCACAGCAGGGGCCTCGGGCTAAGACAGGCTCCCTACCTGACCTGATTCTGCGTGGTTCCTGGAAACAGATGCCGGGTCCTTGCAGACCCTAGGTGCATGGGTGGCCAGGGAGGCTCCTCGCCCTGCCCCCGCCCGAGTGCCGGCTCCACAGTTTCTATTGGCTGAGAACTGTGACCAATGGGAGCTGCGAGGGCAGTGCCTGCGGGTGCCAGGGCAGCGCGCAGAGCCTCCCTGGCTGCCCATGCGTATAGGGGCTGCAGGGGCATGGCAGCCGCTTCCTGGGAGCCGTGGTAAGCGCCACTGGGATTCCACACCCTGAACCCCCTCCCATACCCCAACCTCCTGCCCCAGCCCAGTGAAAGTGAGTGAGGGTGGGGGAGGGCGAGCGACAGAGGGAGTGGGGATAGAACGAGTGGGGTTGGGGCCTCGGAGAAGGCGCGGGGTGGGGGTGGGGCAGGGGTGTTCAGTTTTGTGCAATTAGAAAGTTGGCAACCCTATAGACAAGGCCTTTGCTATAGCTGGGGACTGGATGGCTCAGGAGTGTCAGAGAATGGCATATGCAGCCTTTAACTTATAGGGCACCATTTCCAATCCAATTCCAGGCCAGGGAGGCTGGCTGGGTGGAGGGAGTTGGGGAATGGAACATGGAGCCTTTAATCTATAGCGCAGCAGTTCGAGTTCTGTTCCTGGGCTGTAGTGACCAAAAGTTCAGGTCAGCAAGGAGCCAATCAGAACAGTTCTATGAACGGAGTTGAAAAACCAGCCAGTCAGCAGCAGCCACTTGTTAACAGGACTGAAAACTAACCAGTCACAGACACTGCTGAGTTCCTAGTGTTACCAGCAGTCGCCACTCTCTGTGGGTGGGTTGTGTGACATGAGTTGGTGGTTGGGCGTGGACAAGTCAAGCACCTAGTGTCACGCCCTTGTTGGCAATCTGAGTGAAGAGGCCTAAGCTTGGCAGGAGAGCAGAGAGTCTCTCCGCCCTTGCCCAGGATGCCAGATATAGCTGCATGGCACAGTGCCAGGCTGACAGCAGGCCCACACCTCTGCACCTCCCTGCTGTCTCCTCTGCTGCGTCAAGCTGCATCACAGCAGGGGGCAAACAAGTAAACTGACCAGGACCAGTGTGGTGGATACCTGGCCTGCCGCATTCCTGTGGGAGAGTGAGGTGTGCAGGCCTGGGGAGTGACAGCGTAAGCCCCCAAGCGACCCCCTCCCTGCAGCAGAAGGGCTCCTTGGCAAGCTGATAGCAGGGAGTGGGGAGGCGTTGGGAGGTGCATCAGCAAATCTCCCTTCTGCCTGCTTTCCTTTCCTCCCCCTAACCTAGCCACAAGAGCGGCACCGCTGCCTATCATCCCAGCTCCTTCTGTCCACTCTTCAGAGCAGTGGGGCAGCATGTGCACAGAGGAGCAACCTCTCTCTAAAGCCGGGCCCCTCCCATCTACATCCTCTTTGGCTCCAGCAAACAACCCCAAGCACATCCATCCTCTCCCCATTCCCTCCCCATCTCGTAAGCGGCAGAATGATGGAGGAGTAAGTGGAACAACCCAAACTGGGCCTTTCCCGGGAGGTAACTGCTATTCTGTCAGGCTGATGATGAATGAGGAGCTTGCACAGTTCTTTGCTGAAACTATCCTTTCCTTCAGACAGAGTGCAGAACCCTGATGCATTGATTCCACTCTTGTTGTATAGTGGTTGGGCCTTCCAGGAGACATGTGAGCTTAGAACAGTGTTTCTCAAACTTTTGTACTGGTGACCCCTTTCACATAGCAAGCCTCTGAGTGCGACCCCCCCTTGTGAATTAAAAACACTTGTTTATATATTTAACACCATTATAAATGCTCAAGGCAAAGCAGGGTTTGGGGTGGAAGCTGACAGCTCGTGACCCCCCACATAATAACCTCACGACCCCCTGAGGGGTCCCGACCTCCAGTTTGAGAACCCCTGGCTTAGAAGATATCACAGCTTACATGAACAATGTGACTAACTGATTACTAATTGACAACTTAGACCTTTTGGTCAACACTGAGTTCAGTGTAAAACTCAGATTCTGCCTCGATCTTTACTGATCTCTGACTGAGCAAGGAGGGGCTCATTGATCCCCTGGACGTGTCCCTCAGCAGGCGTGATGGGATATTTATTTCCTCAGATTACAGATACTGCTGGAGAACATTTGTTGCCCATCAAAATGGAGAGGAAGATGACTATTGCCCCTTGGTGCCCTCTCTGTGGATCATTTTCTATTGTCTAGAACTCCAGCGTGTCCTTTGGGTGAGTAAACATTTTGGAGAAAATGTTGGATCCAAGAACAATCCTAAATCATATGAGAGTTAAGTTCAAGTGACCCAGCTGTGGGCATCTCCACTGAGGCTATGGCTACACTACAGAGCTTAAAGCAATGCAGCTGCGCCTCTGTAGCACTGCTAGTGCAGATGCTCTAAGCCGATGGGAGAGAGCTCCCCTGTCAATTTAATCACTCCAGTCCCCGTGAGTGGCGGTAGCTATGTCAGCAGGAGAAGCTCTCCCGCTGACATAACGCTATCGACAGCAGCACTTAGATCAGTATAATGTCGTGGGGGGAGGGGGGGAAGGGCTATTCACACCCCTGGGCGACATAACTTATACTGACATAAGCTGTAGTGTGCACATAGCCTGATATTAGCAGCAGGACCAGGCAGGGCTCCAATCAGGACTGGGGCCTCCATTGTACAAGGTCAATTCCTAAACAGGAGAGGCAGGGCAGCCCAGTAGAACTGGAATGTCACACTCTGCTCTGAGTAGTGCAGGGGCAGCCCAGAGAATTAATTGCGTTCCCGCCTTGCTCTAGGGAGAGGGTAAGTTATTTCACCCCTTCTCATGGAGGAGCTTACTGCCCCATGTGCCCAACCTGCCACTCTATCCAGTCACCCTGCCTCTCACTCCTTGCCCACTGGTCTCTCTCCACCCACTTGCTGGCAGGAGGGAGTATCAGGAGCGAGCTCTCCCCCTCTGCCGTATAGCTGGAAACACAATCTGAGCAGGGGAGTACGGACTGTGACAATCTACACCAATTTACATCCGCTGTGGCACATGGTCTGTACATAACCAAAGAACCCAGAAAGTGCAGAGTTAAAGGAGATACTGGCATCCCCTGATCATGACATAGTCACAGCAAACTACACCCCATCCCTTAGGTTAAAGTCTCCCTCTATACCATTCCTTCTATTATTATTCTGTTCACTTATTTGCTCCCAGTCGCACTCCCAGTGTGCTAGGCACCACACAAAATGTAAGAAAACAGCGTTCTTGTCCCACAGACAAGCGAAAGAGACAAGACAAGACAACCGGTGAAAGGTAGGAGAAAGAAGTACAACAAGTGAGGGGGAGGGATAGCTCAGTGGTTTGAGCATTGGTGTGCTAAACGCAGGGTTGTGAGTTCAATCCTTGAAGGAGCCACTTCAGGATCTGGGGCAAAAATCAGTACTTGGTCCTGCTAGTGAAGGCAGGGGGCTGGACTCAATGACCTTTCAAGGTCCCTTCCAGTTCTAGGAGATAGGATATCTCCATTTATTTATATAAAAGAGGTCAGGGTGGTGACTGATCATGTCTAGGTAAAGCAATAGTTGAGAATGCAACTGGGGATAATGTTTTAGGGTTTCTGTTAAGTAATATAAGAACTCTACTGGCTTCAGTGGAACTAAGCCAGTTTACAGCAGTGTGTGTGTGTGTGTGATGCCTTCCTGCTTATTGCTCCCCGTTCGTGTTTGGTTCCTGCTCCCTGAGCTCAGTGTTCCAGTTCCTGTGTTTGTGTGTATGTGTGCACAGTGTTGGGTGTGCATAGTTATTCAGGGCCTGCTGCTACATACCTGCCATTTGGACCGTTGTTATGTTTTATTCGGACTGTTGCTGACTTAGCTGGTCCGTGGTTATTACATGCTTTGATTGACCAACTACCTGCGTGTCCTGCTTCGGTTTCTTGGTGTTTTGGGACTGCTGTTCCAGGGTGCATCAAAGTGTAACAAGGCATCAGGGTAGAGTTGGGTGTTCAGGAGCACTCTGAATGCCGAGGAGACAGTGGCATTGTGGAGCAGCTCAGGAAGGGCATTTCCGGCATGGGAGGCAGCCTGAAAGAAGGCACAGCATCTAGGATAGCATCATTGTTGTAGCATGTTCATATAATTCAAGCTGAATATATTTATGGGCAGTCTCAAATGGTTCAGAGGAGAAGTCCCCCAGCCTTATCTCCCAATGATTTATTATAGTCTGCACGGTCACTTAGGAATGCGGCACTAAGAAATGGCTGTCCTCTGCACGCATTTGAAATCACTACCTGACAAACCTTTGCTGTAGAATGGTGAAATCCAGTAGCTGACTTGTTACCTATTCATTTTTTCCTATTTATTATATCTTTGTCAAGAAATTTTTTACAGTCCATGTAAACATTCACTGCTTAACCCCCAAAAACTCAGGGGACCACTGTGGATAACTTAATAAATATTGGGTGAAATCCTGGTCCGATGGAAGTCAAGGGCCAAGTTCTCCCATTGACTTTGATGTGAGTTAGGATTTCACACATTGTAAATCTATTGCTGCTGTTGGTAACATAAATATTTGTTAGGTAGAAACACTGGGCAAAATCCTGAGGTCTTTATCAAGTCAATGGTAATTTTGCCTGACTAAGGACTGATCTGGCTCAGTTTTGTTATGAATGATCAAGGACAAACTCCAGTCGGGCTATTCACATGAACAAAGGTCACAGGATTCAGCTGCATATGTTTTACAGAGTGACGATGACAATGATGAAGATCAAAACTTTTGATTTGTGTTTCTGAAGTGTTCACAACAATACTGAAAATGTAGAGTTTATAGAAAGTTCATGGATTTCCCCACTTTATTGACTACATTTCATAAAAGGGACAAGACCTGGTAAGATCAGGCAGTTTAAATGTACATTTCAATGGATTAATTAAGTATATCATGTATATTGCACCGCTCTGCTATCCCACTGATATGTTGTAGAGGGTTGTCAGGGTTCCTTCCCCACTCTGAACTCTGGGGTACAGATGTGGGGACCCACATGAAAGACCCCCTAAGCTTATTTTTACCAGCTTAGGTTAAAAACTTTCCCAAGGCACAAATTCCACCTTGTCCTTGAACAGTATGCTGCCACCACCAAGTGATTTAGACAAAGAATCAGGGAAAGGACCACTTGGAGTCCCATTCCCCCAAATATTCCCCCAAGCCCTACACCCCCTTTCCTGGGGAAGGCTTGAGAATAATATCCTCACCAATTGGTACAGGTGAACACAGACCCAAACCCTTGGATCTTAAGAACAATGAAAAATCAATCAGGTTCTTAAAAGAAGAATTCATCTAAAAAAAGATAAAAGAATCACCTCTGTAAAATCAGGATGGAAGATAACTTTACAGGGTAACAAAAAGATTCAAAACACAGAGGATTTCCCCTCCAGGCAAAACTTTAAAGTTACAAAAACAGGGATAAACCTCCCTCTTAGCACAGGGAAAATTCACACGCTAAAACAAAAGATACTCTAACGCATTTCCTTGCTATTACTTAGTATTTCTGTAATATTAGATGTATCATTTCAGTGGGAGCTGGATTACTTGCTTGGTCTCTCCCTTTGTCTCCGGGGAGAACACACACAGAGCACAAAACAAAGCCTCCCCTCCCTCCCCCCCGATTTGAAAGTATCTTCTTTCCCCAATCGTCCTTCTGGTCAGGTGCCAACCAGGTTATCTGAGCTTCTTAACCCTTTACAGGTAAGGAGGGATTTTATGCTACCATTAGCTGTATATTTATGACAAGGGTGATACCCACAGAGAATATTTATTTTGTCTAGATGAAGAGATGCCTTTCTAATCACTGAATTGTGCATTTTTTGTCAATCGGATGCTCCTCCATGAGATTTTCTAATGGAGTTTCAAGAGAACACTATGGTTAAAATGTAACCACAGTAGCTTTTTAATTTCCTTTTAGACAAGAAGCACTATAAACAGCAATTTACCTGCATCAGGAGTCTGTTCAGATTTTTCCTCTTCTTTCTATGATTTTGTGTTCAGTATACTTTTGGCTGGCTGAATTCTGCTCTATTCCATATCATTACTTATGCGGTACTTACCACTGTAATATCTGTCATGAATATAATTCTTCAGAATTACCTGTGGGTGATATAAACATCAAGTATTATACAAGAGCCTTTTTCTAGCCCTTATAAGAATAACGTAACTGTGTCCCCTGCCCCAAGATTGTTCACAGGAAGTGCTCAGAGTTTGGCCTGTTCAGGACGAGGGTGGGGATATGTGCACTATGGAGGGTGGGAGGAAGTGGAGTTTGATACAGGTAACTGGTGAGTGGAGTTGTGACGTTCGCCTCTGGTGTTGTCTGGACTGGTGATCTGCTAGGTCACTCCAATCCTTGACTCTGGGAACCAGCCTTACCCTGCTCTGCTGTGAGAACCCCCACTCCTGGGTTGTTCATGCACAGCCTCTGGCATGTAAGCTGCTCCCAGCTACTTGCAAGTGAATGGTACTTGCCAATATCTCCGGTCCCAGACACAACCCTAGGAACCTCCATCTTGCAGTGTCCAGTTATGCCCGCTGGACACTGCAAGCTTATATAAGTTTGTCAATTTAACAAATAAATTGATATGTACCAGGCTTGTTATCCCAAGGGGAGCCTCTGACACGCTTCAAACCAAATGCACTGCTTCAGGTAGAATAAACAAACAGACGTATTAACTATAAAGATAGATTTTAAGTGATAACAAGTCAGATTTGGTCAAATGAAATAAAAGCAAAATGCATTCTAAGCTGATCTTAACACTTTCAATGCCCTTACAAACTTAGATGCTTCTCACCACAAGCTGGCTGGTTGCTCTTCAGCCAGGCTCTCCCCTTTGATCAGCGCTTCAGTCGCTTGGTGTGGTGTCTGTAGATGTAGGTGGAAGAGAGAGGAAGAGCATGGCAAATGTCTCTTCCTTTTATCATGTCCTTTCCTCCCTCTTGGCTTTGACCCCTCCTCCCCCTTCAGAGTCAGGTGAGCATTAATGAGTCTCTCCAAGCAAGGTTGAGCAATTCCCCTGGTGTGGCCTCATGCAGGTGAGTCATTGCATTGTAGATCCCTTGCTGGATAATGGCTGTTGATGGGTTGACACCCCGCCCGGGCTTTGGTTACTTTCCTTGCTGTTGCCTCTGGGAAGCTAATATCTGGCTGATTCCCCCAACTTACAGCATGTTTTAGTGACAACCATACTACACAACTTTCATAACTTCATATGCATTAATGATATACATGTAAGGATAGAGAAATGACTTTCAGCAGATCATAACCTTTCCCCTGATACCTTACAAGGCATGCTTTATAAGTAAGATCACGATTATATGAAAATGAGGAATATGGGGGTTACAGCACACTCCCCCAACGTATAGAATGTCACACCTCCCCCCTTAGTTTACTGCAAGAGTAAGTAGCATTATCATAAGGTTTAATATCCGTGTCAAAATCCCCAAAACTTAACATTAATACCAAAATTTTTATCACAGATGTGCATTTACAATATCTTTATGATATCACACCCTCTGTTCAGATAGTATAGTTTGAGGTTAGTTTGTTCTTTACCCATGGTATCCTTTGACTCTCTCCCATGTAATCAGTCACTGGCTTTTCTTTCCCTCCAGTGTTCCCTTCTGTGTGGGCTCTTAATTTAATCATGTTTCTGGCAAGATAAGGGTCCAGGGGGATCCTGCACATTGGCTGGCCCTTTGGGGAGTGGTCTCCCAACCCCAGGACTGTACATATGTAGAAAATCCAGCTCCCCTTTTGGGGTTACCCTGTGTTTCCCCCTCCCAGCACTCAGTCCTTCCCTGCCCCTTGGAGGGCTGTGATCTGTGCTCTCTAGGCCAGGTGTGTTTATCCTTTGATCAGATGCACCTTTTCCCAGCAGCTTTCCCATAACTGCTCTCTGTGTCTCATCAGCCTGGGGGAAAACACCCCCCTCTCTGTCAGTTGGGTCATTTGCAGATCATAACCTTTCCCCTGATACTTTACAAAGCATGCTTTATATGTAAGATCACGATTATATGAAAATGAGGAATATGGGGGTTACAGCACACTCCCCCAAGGTATAGAATGTCACAGGAGTGGAGATAGGATATTAAATGACTTAACTGCTTATTCCTTTGCTCTTTGGGGTCTATGCTGGTGGGATGTGCAGACTAGGAACATTAACTGAGTTAACCAAGCTTTGCATGTGGAGACAAACAGCACCTCCTGCATTAACCTGTCTGCTGTGTAAATCTGCTCTTAGTCTCTTTTCCTTTAAGAGCCAGATCCTGCAACTCAGTCAGCATGGGCAGACCCCTATGCCTGCAGGGAGCCCCTTGTGCCCTCTCTTGACAGGCTGAAAGGGGTGTTTTGCAATTGTGTTAGCTCATTTATGTTAGCTTAGCATGATTGACAAGCCCCGTTCAACTGCAGGCTAACCCATCTGAAGCTGTATTCATAGATTCATAGATTCATAGACTCTAGGACTGGAAGGGACCTCGAGAGGTCATCGAGTCCAGTCCCCTGCCCACATGGCAGGACCAAATACTGTCTAGACAGTAATTGACTCTGGTGTAGCCTGGGGAAATATAGCTTCAAGTGTGTTAGTCTACAGCTTACTGAGGCTTTCCAGTCATATTAAGGTAACTCCACCAAGCTAGCATAACTGAGAAACGCACCCTTATTGTCCCTCACGACAGGGCCATTGACTTCAGTGGCGCTCTGAGCATTTGGCTAAGTTTACCTGGACACATCCAGTTGCACAATCATGCCCTAAGGATACAAGACTCAAAACTTACCTGCCCTAATAATTGATTGTTTCACACATTCTGGGCAAATCACAGTGAGTTTCTTGATGCTCTGTTGTTCTTATTCTGTTTGCCCTCAGTAAGTGTAAGGGAGGGTGTAAAGTGAATAGGAGAGCAGACTGAAGCTCAGGAGACAAGGGTTTGGTTCCTGACACAGCCAGACTGCGTGGGTCACCTTGGACAAGTTTCCTAATCCTTAGTGTGATGCAGCTCCCCATCTGTAAAATGGGGCTAGTGCTTTCCTAACTGACAAGGGTGTTCCAAGGATAAAATCCCATTAATGATTATGAAGCTTTTGTGGTTAGATGTTGATAGATGTTTGTCTACGTGTGTGTGTGTTCCCTTTCAGTGCTGCCCCAGCCTTGCACAGACTGCTGGCACAGCAGACCTCGAGCAAACCGCCCAATGACCACAAGATCCGTTAAGGGACAAAGGCACCCAGCCAGGTTTATTGTCGATGCAGCAAGATACTAGTATCCCACAGACTCTACTGGACCACTAATACATGTATGCCTGTAACAATGGACCAGCTCAGTGAACGGCGGGACTTTCCGTTCTTCCCTAGGCCAGACAAAGATACTCCCTCTGAGATACATCTTTATACCCTGATACAAACATGTTACGTACTGCCTCTGGCATAGTTAGTTTCTGCCCCCGGCGTGGCTAGTTATCACCCATCACCTTGTACATGTTGGTTTGATAGTTATAAATATAATTCTTGTGCCATTTGTTTTTAACTGTAAGATTGTCCTGTATATCATGTACATTTTTTAAAAAGGTATAAAATTGACTTTTGTTGCAACAAAATCAAAATAATTTAAAAATAGTCATGTGACACACACAACATACAACACAGGACAACATACATGACATACAGGACAAACTTACAATTAAAAACAAATGGCACAAGAATTATATTTATAACTATACAAAATAAAGTAAACAAAAATAAATAATAAAAAAGGGTTAAACATTTAAATAAACAAGTTATTACCTTTTTATTTACAACTTTTATTAAAAATGGATAAAAATTTAAATTATTATTATTTTGCTAGAATCCCAGCATGTTCATACCTTATTATACTCTGTGTGGATTTGCAGGGAGGGGTTAAGGGGGTTCCCTAGCTCATGGTTTTCTGTCATGTTAGATCGTGATTTCTACAGAGGACAGCTCGCTTACTTACCAGATTAGTAGTTGGGGGTCACCAGTCTCGTTAGATGTTGATAGATGTTTGGTTGCATGTGTGTGTTCCCTCTGTGTGCCGCCCCAGGTGGCACAGCAGACCTTGAGCGAACTGCCCAATGACCACAAGGGATGAAGGCACCTAGCCCAGTGAATGGCGGGACTTTCCGTTTCTTCCTAGGCCAGACAAAAATACTCCCTCTGAAATACGTCTTTATACCCTGATACAAACCAGTTAGTACTGCCTCTGACATAGTTACTGCCCCCTGGTGTGGCTAGTTATTACCCATCACCTTGTACATGTTGATCTGATCAAAACATCTCTATTACGTACTGTCATCCTGACCTTATCTTTTGGGAGGGGTCAGTGTGTTCCTGTTATCTTTGGGGAATGTTTTTGTACCATCCTTGATATCAGGATGTTCTGGTACCACTTGATATCAGGATGTATTTTTGTGAGCACTCTGTGCCTAGCACTTCTTAGGAATATTTATTTCTGCAATATCAGCCCTGTTCTTCCCAGTTTCTGTGAGCAGGTCCTGCCTCATACCAGGCCTCTGATACAAGGGCTTATGTCTCAGGCTCTCTTCCTACTACAGCTCTCAGATGCAATCGGGATGGGAGAGGGCATATATGCACCTAGACAGATAGAAACAAAACATATAAACAAGGAGAATAAAAGTAAGTTTGAGGGGACTCTGTAATTGATTTGTTTAATTTCTGATCAAAGAATAGGCAAATGCAGGACCTTCCATTTCAGTCCCAGCTACCGCCATGTTTATTTAGCTTGTATGATAGACTCAGGATGGATCTTGAATATAGGATGTCAGATCTCAAAAACCCAGATTGCTAATTCTATGCGAATGTGAATTCCATGAAGAGAAATGCCATATCAGTTGTCTAAACTGATCAGTTAATCTAACATACCATTTTGGTTCAATAGTCTCACCTTGCTTTTCGACTAGCTGAGACTTGCTAATGCCTGGTATTAAATAATGTATTAGATCAATCGCTTCAGAATATATAATATGAAAGTCATTGAACAGCTTTAAAAAAGAGTTCAAACACACACACACACACATACATACACGTTATATGTTATGTGTGTATGTATAGATATATGTATATATAGAGAAAGATATTTTCTGTATTTTCTGGGGAAAAGATTTGGGACACACACACACACACATTTATGCCTTCCCTAGACAACTCTAAAGACTAAGTAAGAACTTCAGGCCTTGGCCCCAAGTGTCCTGCTAACAAGCAAGTGTGAATAATAAATGACCATATCTCAATTCTCCTCCTCCACAAACAATCTATTCTCCTCCATGGAGTGTAAATTGGGACCATGAGGTTTTGCCTTCAGTGGGGCTACTCACATGCTTAATGTTAAGCACGTGCTTAAGTGTTTTGCAGGGTCAGGGGCCTAAGAAAATGGAAAATTAACACAGGTGCCAAGATTTCCCAAAACAGGCGCCTAAAGTGAGGTTCTGAGATCCTTATTTAGGACTTGAAGGGGTCTCAGTTTAGGCACCTGTTTTTGAAAATCTTAGTCACCTCATGTCATTCTCAGTGCAGTACGAGTCCACCTGGGTGCATATGAGTTGTTAAGTAAGAAATTCAGAACACATCTGTTGAAAATATGTCTCAGATAAAAGTGCAAAATATGGTTCCGTATCCTGCTTTCCTTGGAGACAGCTGGGAGTTTTGCCTGCCTTGAAATCACCCCTGCTTCTGTTTCCACAGCTGAGTTATAATGCACTGTAAGCCCTATGATTGCAGGTGACCACTGATCTCCCTTACAATCTCACAGGGATGTGAGGGACACTTCCTGCTGGAAGGAGTTAAGAATGATTTCCTGTGAAAGACACTTAATTTTAAACCTCTGATTGATGCTAAAGATAAAACAATTGGCTTTTGGCCTTTCATTTTTAACACCCAGCTTTCTCTTTTCCCACCAGGGTCTCCCTTCACTGTTAGCAAGACATGCACACCCCTGAGTATCAGCAGCACACCTTCAATCTCATCCTGTGAGACAACTAGTGCCAAATGCTTTTATAAGAGTACCTTGCAGCAGCCAATGACTGGCAGCCCTTACATTAGAATCCTGACTTGCCAGCCCCACACCCACATCTACTGACCTACTAGCCTAAAGCACCAGCCAATCATCGCCAGACAACAGGGCTGCAAAAGGAGCCACTCAGAAACAGCCAGCAAGAAGTTCTGAAGAAGCAGCCAATCGATATTTAACAGGACCTTGGGTCTCCATACGCAACACACCAGGGTGGGGGGATGGAGTCTCCTCACCAGCCCTGTATGCTCTTTGAGTAGGGGGCAGGAGCTGGAGCAGATCCCTTTGTATCTGCAGTTGGAGATGTCTCTGTGCCTTCCACTTCGGTGATCAGGACAATCCAACAGTATTTATGTTTGCAGTGTTGTTGCAGCCATGTTGGTCCCAGGATATGATTGAGACAAGGTGGACAAGGTAATCTCTTTTATTGGACCAATTCATGTTGGTAGAAGGGACAAGCTTTCAGGCTACACAGAGCTCTGTGAGCTGAAGAAGAGCTCTGTGTAGCTCAAAAGCTTGTCTCTCTCACCAACAAAAGTTGGGTTCAATAAGAGAGATTACGTCACCCACCTTGTCTCAATCATATTTACTGCACCTTGAGACACTACCATTATCAAGTCAAAGCAATTAACTGTTTGCATCAGGAATTCACAAGCAGATCATTTTTATATGGATTTGTATTTCAGAGAGAATTTTTCCTGCTATTTTATTACTGGAGTTTATTTTTCTCTCACTGGATTTCTTGGTTTTATTTTCTGTATTATTTCTGACCATTAAGAAAGAACAGAATGAAACACAAAATGTTCCTTCAGAGGAAGCGCTGCTGTTAGTGGTTATATTTTACCGAAGTTTTAATGTGTCGTTTGCTTCCATCCCAATGTAATCCCAAGAGGCACCACATCAAACAGTGTAAGAACTGTAAAGACCTCAGTGCTACTGCAGTCTCATGCTTTCCCAGGAGGAGGCACAGAAGGGAATGGTGCAGGAATAGAGGCGGTGGGCAGCTCCTAGCTCCCTGCTCCCAGCCTCTCTCAACAGGAAGGGAAGGTACAGGAGTGCTGGCTGTTGTGGGAGCTTCCAGATATTCCACTCCCAGCCTCTTGCCGTTGGCAATGGGGAAAGACTGCTGACTGGGAGTCGATGGGAGCACCAACCTGCGTGATTCCCAGCCATTCTGGGCAGGGGGCACTGTCTGGCACTGCCACTGTGTAACATGGAAAAATCACTTGTTCTCCTGGGGCTGCAAACACCAATAGCAGGAAGTACAAAGCTTTGGCTGAAAAATGAGTGGGGGGTTTCCAGTGGCTATTCCTCTCTCCCCTCCGCTGCCCCAGTGATTTATGGTTGTGGCATTCCTGGGGCTGTGTGGGAGAGGGAGCCACACCAAGGTCTCCAAGCTGCAGACCGAGGTCGATAATGTATCATCGTATGTAGACCAAATGACCCTGGAAACCAGCAAAGCCCCAGGCAGGAGGGGAGGGCAGATGCAGCACCCAGAGCTGGGGAGCTCTGGAATGTCTGGGGCCAGCGAATGACTGATGTAGAACGGGTGGGAGAGACTCCCCTCCTCGCCAAATAAATCACTTCTCTCCTCTCTCAGGGAGTAAAGCCTCCCTACCACTTTGCTGGAGGAGTTCTCCCCAGTGCACAGGCCATAAAGGCCGGATGGCAGGTGCCCTTTGTGTGGCCACAGCAACCTCTGTGTTCAGGAGGGAAGGGGGGTGCTTGTGAATGGATCTGGTCCCAAGCTGCCTTCACTGGAAAGGGGGCATAGAAAGAGAACAGGCTGGCAAATACCTTTGTGCCTGTATAAAGAAAGTCTTCTGTGTCCCTACCCTGTCCTTCATCACTTGCGAAAACTCCCCTTCCTCCAGGACAGCCAAAGAGGTTAGAAATGGGGAAGATGTCTCAGGTCACTCATCCATTCCCTTTCCCCACTCCCTCCCGTGCTCCTCCCACTAGCCCCCAGCCCCTCCGCTGCTAGGGCAAAATTGTTCCCTGCAGTCTAATCTCCAGGGCGCTGAGTGGTTACCATCCCTTCGCTCTGAGCAATGCCAGCTCTCATGAACAGGAACTGAAAGAGATAAAGTGTCTCAGTTAAGAGAGAAAAAGACCATCCCACAGACCAGGAGGCTAGAAGAAAGGAAAAGGAAGCCATGACTTCTTCCACAGAGACCGGTATGTGTGTAGGCGAAAGAGAGAATGTGTGTGTGTGTCTGTCTATGTGTACCCGAGTTGTGTGATTATTTGAGGTGAATGATTGTGTATATGTGTGCATGTTTGCATGTGTTCATGAGCACTTGTGATCATGCAGGGATGTGTAGGAGTGGATGTTTGGATGTGGGGTTCTTTGTATAATGCATATGTTTTTATCGGTGTGTATTTGTATCTCTGTATATGTGTTTCTGGGTGCAGGGGCATGTGTGTCTATGCTTGCATGCCTAGGTATAAAATGTGTGGTAAGATTTGTCCCTAAAGGATGCAAATTATTGAAAATACAAGTCTCAAGGGGAGGGTGGCTGACTCAGGGGAACTGAGATTGGAATAGTGCTGAGATCATCTCTGGGGTAAGAAATGCAAGCAAGCCCCAGGTAGTAGCAGGGGGTGGCAGGGTTACCAGCTGATCCAAGAGAGTCAAGGAATGGGATAGGAGGCCTGTCTGCAGCACTGGGCCTGAGCCAGCACCAGGTGAGGGAGACTGGATGGCCCGGGGTTTGGGGGCTGGGATACGGAGCCTTTCATTCCTAGGGCATTGCTTCTGATGCAGCCCCAGGCTGGTTATAACCATGTCATGGCAGCTAGTGTTGAATGAAAAGTATTTATTTTTGTATTCCTGTAAGAGAGTGAACATAGTTCTCTGTCTGTGAATTAGCCGGTCCAGCTCCTAGCAGTCATGTACCCACATCATTGGGAGCACTGCTATTAAGTGTCCCTCTTGCAAGTAGGGTAGCGAAAACTGACTTTGCTCTGGGACAAAAGGGGTTAAAATCTGACACACCAAGAACGTTCTTAAACTCCCTTTGAACTTTTTCTAATCCCCTTGCAAAGGCGCCAAGATGTTTCCTCCCAGGCCTGGGAACCAAGGTCACTAGGTCTATATTTTCATTCTTTCTGTTATCGCCTTCAAGGTTCCTACGAACCAAACTAGTTGCACAAGAGCAGGATGGCAGCTCCATTCCGAGAGCTCAGGAATGCATGAGAGGTTCTGGAGAAAGGGACTCAAAGAAAAATCACAGACAGGAGAGACTGAGAGCACGGGGAGGAGGAGCCGTGTCAGTAACATGGGGCAATTTGGCAGGATCTAACATCACAAAGAACAAACATTTCCCTAATGTCTTCCAGGCTGAGCCCTTCCAAAACGTTTCACGAGCTGATGCAAAGGGCCTGATTCTCCTCTTACACCACTCTAAGTGAGGAGGGACTCCACTGAAATAAACGGAGTTGCACTGATGTACAAATGGTGTTAGAGGAGAACCTCTGGGGTGGAGCATGGCCACTGTTTAGCAGAGCACAGCAACACCACACAGCTGACTGCGAGTGAAGAAAAATCTAGTAGCCAGCTGAAACTACAGGGAGAATTGTTGGGAGGCAAAGTACAGTAACACAAATGAGAATTTACCCAGGACACCAGGGTTAACACTGCTACTCCTACAAAGAGTGTCAAGGGATTCTAACCACCCCATCCTTGGTCTTATATCTCATCTAGAGACATCCCCAGCACCACACCAGGGTTACAGGGTAGTGGTGTCTCAGAGGAGAGAGCATTCCCTACTGAACCAGCCACCCCACTCCCTGCAGCACAGCGCCCCCTAGTGCTATGCTAGGGTCAGTGCTGACTCAGAGAGAAGAGCACCCCGTACTGAGCCACGTACCTCACTGCTGATTCTGAGAGAAGAGTACCCCTACAAAGTCACTGCTTCCTGATATATTAAAGCTGTCTGTGGTAGTCTCCCATCCAATTTCCAACCCAGTTAAACTCCTTATCAGGTGTAAGGAGCATATAGCCCCAGGGGGCACTGTGCATAGCACCCCTCAGGTAAGGATGACAGTACATGGCAGAAAGCTGGTGCAATTAGGAAGGAGCAGGGTCACATTTCTCTGGACTTCCACTGTAAGGAATAGGTGGGTGTGAATGGTCACTGATTTCCTAAGATGCTGTCCTGGATCCCTGGGGTGAGAACTGGGATCCCAAAAATCGCCTCCACCCCCAACCCACCCTGTATTTGTACCAGCTCATAGGTGACTCTCCGTTCTCTCTTCCAGTAGGTCATCCATCCAGAAGTGCTAGCCACAGGTAAGAATGACAGCTCTAGTCTGGTACGTGACTGGTGCCACAGAGAATTTCAGAGGGAATGGGGGGGTGGGGTGGATTTTCTTCCCCTTAAACTTCTGCTATCTCAAAAGCATCTTGCTATTTTCCTTTCCTTTCTCCTCTCTCTGTCCTTTTCATAACGATCTAGGTCCTGGTGCAGTACACTGCAGCCATGGTGCCTTGCTTTATTGTAGACAGAATTATTGCCTTCCTTTACAATCAAGCTGCAGCTCAGACTGAACCCCTGATCCAGAAGTCCCAGGTATCATATATCCCATTATTAGAGACAGTACCTGGGGACACACAGTCATACAGGCAGCTTGTCTGACAGCAAAGAGGCGGTACTAAGACCATACAAACTGTCCCTCTCCCATCCTCACCCTCTGTCTCTTTTGCTACATGGGAGTCATTAAAGATACCAGTGATGGAATGTGGGTTTCAGGTGGAAGATACAGCCAAAGGAATTTAGGGCGATCTTTGATCCCAGCGCATTTCCCAAGGTGACCTACCTACTCTATGAAATTAAGTGGGGCAGCAGCACGAAGTTCTGGAGGAAGTGGTGCCCGAACACCCCCACCCAGCATGCCGAAATCAACTGCCTGGAAAATGACTTCAAGGCGATACACCACAGGGCTTCAGTGCGCTGCTCCA